CGCGGTTGTGCATTATGTTGTTAAGACCCAAAGTTGTATAATATTATAATGGAAAACGTGAGATCGTTTTGAGATCAACTTCGAAACGGGCAACCGACGATTTTAAGTCAATGATGTTTTGGACGAAAACATTAGAACAATTATTATACTCCTCCGAGGCTCTTTCAATCGCATAGTATATTAGTATACTACGTCTGTTGTTAACTAAATAGGCATGTGTAGTAATTTTTTTTTTTTTAATGCGTTTCATATCAAACCAACGATTTCAATTCATTATTTATATATATGTACATATTATATATCATATTTTCAATAACGGATCGTCAGTAATTACTTTTGAACATTTGTTGTACAATTTACAACCGTAAAACACAACACATAATTGTTATAATTAAATCAGGCGTGGATCCGTTAAAAATAGCATTATATACCTACTAAACCAAATTAAATATTAGAATATACCTACAATACTTCACTGTTTGGAAATAGGTATACCTATATATATTAATAAATGCATGTTAATGTGACTTAAGAGGCCAAGACATTATTGTTTTTCGTTGTAAACCTGTCGGATTTAAGTAACATTTTAAAAAATCGTCTATAAGTGGGTAAAATGCGTATAAAAATATTTGAATCCTTTTATTGATAGTTATTACTTATTATTATTTACTATAATTATAGGTACGACGTATCCTATTACGCGCCAATCTTGAAACTAATCGGCCACCAAATTGTTCTTGTTTTTAAATGGATTTTGTAAACCTGAGGGACGATTTCGCAACACTTTAATATATAAGATTAGTACTTATGACAACGTAATAGTCAATATAGGTGGTACTTATACGGCCATTCTCGTTTAATAATTCTACGCACAGAAGTTCACGCTGATAATGTTGAACCAATGTATATATAGAACCAGTATAGGTTATAAACTATAATGTATAAGAACGAACAGCAGGCAGCGAAACAAGGAGCCATTACTGTACTACCACGGTAACAATTGGTTAATGTGGTTGTTTTTCGCATTCTTCGGATTCTATCGTGTGCTTTCAGATTTCCTCGTCGGCCTCGTCCTCTGAGACCGACGCCAAAGATTCCGCTCTGCCGTTTTCCCCTAATCGAAACATATACGAGACCCGAAAAAAAATGAAGCCACTTTTACAGGCTATGCAGTTTTCAAAGAGAGCCGAAAGTAAGACGGACGGATGGATGAAAAAAAACAACAAATGTCTGCGAAAATTGTGCGATTTCGAATTCCACGGCGCACGGTCAGTGTTCTCAGAATTTCGTTCTACCAGACACCAGGTTACCGTTATACGCAGCATCGGGCGATAAGCCGAAATCATCGTCAGCTGACGTTTTATTTCCGGACGGCGCGTAGAGACAGAGTCGAGTGCACCACTCATTTTACTTATATTGTTTTTTACGCTTATACATAAATCGACGTGTTGCGTTTTAGATTTTCCGCCAATTGCTGCAGCTAGCTCGCGCGCCGCGCATCAGCGCTTTCTAAATTCCAGATATTCACTCCCACAGTTCACTCGGAATGCGTGTGTATACGTGCAGTTGTCCCATTGCCTATATATTGTGTGTGTGTAATATAGTATATTATGGTACTTGACGTACTTAGCGCAACATTACTTATATTCTCATCTTCCTGTATACGCGTATATACATAGTGGTGGCATACGTTAATTATATATACGCATCTGAGCGTCGCCACATAATGGAACGTTTCGTCGGTCTAAGAGAGATGACTAGAAATGTCACGCTGGAAGTTTTTCAGACCGCGGTCGCACAAAAAAGGTCACTAGGGTCGATTTCGCGGTAAAAGGGTCACCGCCGGCAATGGATGATGTGGGAACAAACGTGAGTGCAATTGATTCGATATGGAGAGAAAAATAAAACACGCCAATTTAAAAACCATACACATTTTTATAAAAAATATTGTATTCAATTAAATCGTAAATGTGGACAAGTACGTTGGTGCGAAAACGTTTGGGATGCATGATAGTATAATAAACTCGTGGCGCGTGCCTATCTATATGTACACACTGCAATATAGATACGCCCTATTATTAACATCCGTTCTTTATGGAACCGTGAATGATTTTCAACCGGGATTTTTATTCAGGGAAACATTTTAATTAACGAAACAAAATAACGCATAACATTTTGCAATGCAGCGTTTTTATTATTTGGATAACATAAATACATTTAAAGTTTTAAGTTTGAGAACATGAGGTTTTTTTGGTTTTTTTTCATTTAATTATTAAAAACTATTGGTTAGCGCTATTAAAAAAAATGAAAACCCAGATAAAGTTCTCCCCTATGAGTTGTGAAATTTCGGTAATTCTACTATAAATACAGGGGGAGTAAACATTTTTTTCTATGTTGTACATTTGTAAGTCGGAGACAATAAATGCGGGTGTGACGTCTTCTTAAGTGTATAACAGACAATAATGTAATGTGTTTATGTGTATAGCACTATAATACCTGTATAGTTCATACGATTAACTATATTTAGGTACATCGAACATAATATCACTGTAGTTGATTCATAGTAAGTATACTATGTAAATGAAATGTAATATTTAAGTATATTGAATTATTATAAAATACTCGTAGGTATTATGTGATTTTTAATGTTAGTAAACTATAATACCTGATACGCAGTAGCTATAACATGAAGTCGATACTCGATACAGTTGTGAATGTATAGGTACCTAACCTACCAATAGCGATACCGTCACAATAAGCACTAGTATTTTTTGGTTTTCTTGGGTCAATTGTAATATTTTAAACCCACGTTAAAAGAAGGTTTCTTGAAAATGGTGAACACATTTACCAAAACATTTTTTCACATATAATATATTTTAAGAATAGGCATTTTTTCATTGTTGTTTTGAATGTAACGGAAGTCAGTTCAAGGGCAAATTTTTTTTTGGTCTGTGGAGTTTGTGTACCTATGCCCTTTTAGATACAATTGATTGTATACCTACCTGAACTCCGAAGATTTTACACAACAAACAATTCGAATAGAATTCCAACCTACGAAAATGGTTTTTATTTAACTTAATATTGGTACGGGGTCTCTAAAAGAAAAATGAAAAAAATTTGGTAGACTCTGTACATTATATTATATTATATGTATATTATATATCCCATACAATATAAATTTTATAATAAATGATATAAAAGTGTTCTTAAATACACTTTGTGTATAATCACATGAATATTAGAAATATTTTGTTTTTCAAAGCAATAGATATTCAATTTAGTGCAAATCTAGAAATACTAAATATAGACTCCCAAAAATTTTGACGATTTAAAAAAAAAGCATTAAGTACCAGAGACTGTCTAAAAAGTTACACACAGGATTTTACTCGGTAAGCCTCGAGACCTTGACAGTCGCACTCCATTGCCGTTACGGTTGCAGAACGGTCATTGATACTCGTACGATGTCGTATTGATAAATGGCGCTGAATTTAAAACAGAAACTTTCCCCACATGCGCACACACACACACACATAAGTAGATTTAATGGTTGGACAGCAAAATCGACGTTGTCAGATGAATATTTGCGCCAACAACCTAACGAGACAGACTTTCTACAGGGGCGGGGACTCTAAGGACCTAAATTGTCAATTAAAAAAAAAAACACTTTACAGAAATAATAAATTATATTTTTCTAATTTATAGTATTATTTTTTTCATGTTTTTCGATAATCACATAGTTATAGTATCGGCATTACATATAACCATATGCGTTTATGTACTATACGTAGGTAAACTTTAAACATTGCAGTCGCTTCGATAATGGAATATTGAAATAACGGAATAGTTGTAAACTCTGACCTCGAAGACGTCCATCGCGTTTATAAGACTTCCAGACTACCAAACTCAGTGCAAAGTGGTGGTTTTCAGATAGGTACAGCACATTCGTTTCAAACAAACAATTACGCATTTTTAGAAACATATTATATCATCTGTGGAGGACATGTCCATCAATAATAACTAAAAATAGGACCTCGAATTAATAATAAATATATTAATTATACGATGGTTTACGAAGACGCATTCAGTCACTATCGGATTTATAAACTAACAAGTAACAGATGATTATAATTGTCGTCTATCAAGAAAATGTGTTTAAACTGCAGATAAGGACGATTAGAGTGATAGCATAAAATCATCACCAGTCGTTTAAGTCTCCCGAGTCATTTCATTCTAACACAATATGAATACGGCAATATATTATCGTTTATATCGAGTGTTAAATTTATTAGGTAGGTATATCTAATATGCGCAATTTTTTACAATTATGTTTATGTATATAGGTTAGGTATATGGTACCTACGGGGTAGACTTTTAATTTTAATTTTACGACCACAACGCATTCTTAATTTAAATAAATAATACAAAAAATATTTATTTTTCTATATCAGGCATCGGTTCGCACCCAGATGGTGTGAATTGATATAAATAATATACAATTAAATATCCGTTAAATGTAAATTCTTAAAAATAAAAATGTTGAAAACGAATAAACGCCCGACTTGTTTCTACAACAAGCACCAATGCAAAAACTATGATAATTTATGTGTTTCTCATCGGCAACCCAAGTGCTATGGCGGCGGAGGCAGAGATCTCGTGAACGCAGCAGACGAAGCCTGCCTTTCACTGTAGTTCGCAACTGCAGTAATAACGGCAGATCGCGATTGGGCTTCGATAAATGAGCGTCAAAGAATTCACGCATTATATAATTTGCATGAAACAGAAACATTTATATCATTTTAAAAACCACCCCAAGATCCCGGTATATGATTTTACAGGAGCGGGGTTCAACCGGCTAGAACTGCAAACAAATGTTTTCGAAAAATAATGTACACCGACGGGTCACGGGTTACGAGGTTGAGGGTGGAAGAGGGGGGGGGGTAAAATCGAGATAAATTGGAGGGGCTGTGCTTGAGTTATAGGTACATAATACACACGCAATACTATAATAGATCATTGGAGATCGCGGCAGCAGAGACACGTACCTCGTCGTCCGATTGCCTCAGGTCCTCGTCTTCCGGTTCGTCCGGTCGGTCGTTCCCGTGCCGGTGCCGCAAGTACACTCCGTTGTCGTGGTGCTGTAGCTGCAGCGGGGACAGCGACCCTCCGTCTTCGACGATTTCCCGCTTACTCCGTTTTGCATTGTCGTTGTCACTGCAGTTGTCGTTGTTGTTGTTGTTGTTGATGATGATGACATCACTGCCGTGGTTATCCATCGAACCTTCGTCGCCGTCCATGACCAATATGTCTTTGATGTTCATAGCGGCATGTGACGTCACATTATACTTATGTCACGTGGCCGTCGCCCAGGGTAGAGCTGTTAGTAGGTGTACGGTATAATGCGTGTGGTGGGGGGAAGGGGGTAGTTTCTGACACACGTGATCGGGTCAAACAGATCAGGTGGTGGTTGTAGATACGATAACGGAAAACGATAAAAAATAATAATAATAATAATAATAAAAATATACAGAAAAAAAACTAGAGTGGTCACCGGCGGAAGGCTCGGAGCTATGTGTACGGTTTGGCCCTGAAGCGGTTTTACCTGTCTCCGTCGTATAACCGCAACGATATATCGATGTGCGTTATATTCGCGCACAACAATCGATAATCGAAGCGATTTTGTCGGGTATCATAGTATGCCGTATACTATACTACATAATGTTATACACGTACACGACTATAATGCCACAATAACGTGTACTGGCGGCACGGTGCAATCGATGTTTGTTCGGGTCCAGGTCAACCAGCATCCAACAGGTTTTCGTAGTAGGTACGTATCGTGTCGAAGGCGACGTTTGAGCGCGAGCGCGCGCGCGCACACACACACATACACAAGTACATTCTCTTCCTCCACCCCGGGCGCCGGAACCACACAAGCGCGCGCATACACACATACGAGACCATTATCGAGTGTATTTGAGGTGGTCGCAGTACATGCGGTGAGGCCCGAGAGAGATACAGTGACAGGGCGATTGAAAGAGAGGGAGAGATGAGAACACACAATATTATAAAAATTATATCATGTATATGTGTGTGTATGTGTGTGTGCGCGCGCGCGCTCGCGCTCACCTGTTCGCCGCCGTTCAGTGGTCGTCAAAACGAACTCGTGGAGACGTATACACACGTATAAATATTGTACGTACATGTTATGACCTCACGGAAAGCCGAAACTAGGCCGCCATCGACACCGCCACTGCCGCCGGTTACACTCTGTATATTTTCCTTGTCCCATTTATAATACAATAATAACAATATAAGTCTTTTATCGATTCGATACAAAAGATCAGCGATTTGCCCTCATCGAATTTCGCAATAATACTCATGGATAACGTATTTATGTATACAACTTGTAACGTCCACGGCTTGCGTTCTTTTGATCTTCACACTGTTGTAGTGGCTGCTTATATGTATCTTATTTAGTCGACGACAATGCGATTTCGTTAACGTTTTGGTGAACCTCGTAACAGTATATACAAGTATATGTATTGTAGGCAATATGTCACATGGTCGAACGTAATATATAATCCGTTAGCGATGGCGCTCCAGCACATTCATATATACCGCTTCGATTAAAAATGATAATGAGGTACGTACAAATCACAAGTGTACAACATTATTCGAAAAAAATTTGTGTAAACACCGAGCAGTTCCATTATCACCATGTGCATTGTAAAAAAAACCATATTTTCGATTGACAATAACACGAAGCAAATATATTTTTAAAATAATAATAATAAAAAACGATGACAAACATTTTAGTGTTTACCATCAATTATCAAAACTCAACACATACATAATTTATATTTATTAGTTATTACTTATTATCATTACAATATAAGTGTAACGTAAGTAACTATCTATAATAATCAAAAGATAAACAAACCATCTATAGTGGATCGCTTACCCGTCTAAAAAAAGTATAGAAGTTATTAAATTAAGAAAAACGTGGTTAATTAAGAAAACTCGCAGGTCATAGGTATCCTGCTGAATACTTTAAGTCTCAAAATCCGCAAAAGCGTGATGAATAAATAGTTTTAGTATACACAGAAGTAGCAATATAAAACACATTTTTACCGGACTTGGGTAATTCTTTCTACAATAAGTTACCAAAGAACATGTGAATTCATGAAGTTTATTATAGTCTTGCTAACACAATTCGTATTGCTAGTACTAATCAATGTATAGCGATTATTTTCAACCGTTATATTTTAGTCAATCACTCGTTATATAGGTAGTAGGTACACGCGTGTAGTATATTATAATGATTATTTCGGCTGAGAGTTTATATAATATATATATTGTTATTATTATATATGTACTATTATAACAAATCATGAATACCTACTGCCACCGCTGCCCACGCACGGTTTTGGCGTGCACCCATTTCTCATAACCCCACTCGCTCGTCCCGCCATATATCGCGTTGTATATGATGGTGCACCGTTAAAACTCGCCAAATTAAACACAAACATTAATAATTACATATTCCGTTAGACGGACGACGAAGCAGAGTGTGGTGTAGCAGAGTTATAATATCGTTATTATTGTACCACCTAACCTATACCGCCAAGATTGTAGAAAATAATAATAATAATCGACACGATAAATGTAAGTTAGGTACATTTTGAAACGATAAAACAGTCTTAACTTTCGCACAATGCTGGCTATTTATCTATATTTTCAACTTTTCAAGTCGTGGGTAGGTGGATTTGAATTGTATGAGCGTCGCGTATATACATAACATATTTGTACAATTTATGTAAATTTTAAAATAATAAGGCTGCAGAGAAAGCGTTTATAAATATTACACTTATACACGATTATACTTATAAATGTATAATAATAATAATTATTATAATAATATATACACTAACACTGTTTATAGGTAAGTTATAAGGTACAACTCAATTGCCGATTGAGCACATTTTGATAACAACTTAGTATGGGTATTGTGGTGGTCCGAGGAGAGAATAATATTATGATTACCAACGTGAATACAACGAGCTACTCATGGCACTGGTTAGGTAATCAAATAACAATTTATTTACCCCACACGCATTTTGACCGTCGTCAAAAACAGTTGAAACTGATCGTTAACGTCTTTATATTAGCTTTATAAATACAAATGCTATTCCATAGATACACGATGTATGTAAAAAAAAACAATTTGGTCATTAGTACTAATTATAGTGAGAAATAAAAATATATTATTGTTATCTATACAAGTGTATGCAATCGTATCATTAAATTCGCTCTAATAATCATTTATATTAACATTACAAGTTAGACGAAGATAATTAGATTATAAAACCAGGGGTTTGCCGAACGATGAGACTCTGTGCTTATAGTTGGTAAAATTACTAGGCATAGTGAATGTGGCGTATTCTAAAGCAATATTGTACTGTTTAAATGTTTTAAGTAGTTGGTGGTAGTAAATACTAAGTAGCAAATAGGTTTAACTAGTTGGTAAAATACTGCAACCATGAAGAGTGGACGTGGGGAATGAAAAAAATGTATAAAATATAACAGGTTGCCTTAATGATAAAATATATAAATTGTAATGGCACAATCCACGAAGTAGTATGATAATTTTAAGATAACTTAGGGAAAAATAAATTAAGTTTGGTAATAAAAATGTCAAGCTAATATGTATATAACTAAAGAAATAAGTTCAAATAAATTTAATTTCCTTGTACTTCTATACTAATATTTGAAGGAATATATATGTTCGTGAAGTTATTTGTAGGACTGAGAAGTCTGAGAAGTGAGTGCACAGTTGTATTAAGAAAGATGAAATTTATGAACTAGATGAATAGCTTTTAGAATCACCACCGATTTTACTGTATAAAGTTTAAGCTTGCTCTCGATGTTTTTCTTTATTAGTACAGCTGCACCTATATCTGTTCCTGTTCCCAGAGATTCCTCTGTATATATTTTTTCACCATTGGAAAAATAACAAATTGCATGAAGTAGAGTGGATAGTTTTGTATATTCAGAGTGGAATCTGGTCCTGATCGAGATGGCTAACTTCAATTTTTGGTTGAGACAAGTTGAAGTGAATGTGAAATACAAATGTATGTTGTTTGGTCGAGCGTCAAACACTAACTGTTTGTATCTATACGTATTTAGGTACACATATTATATTAGAATAGTATATTTTACAGTGACTCTATATAAACTGTACTTCTATAAGTAAACATATGTACATAAAAGTAGGTATGGTAATAATATTAATAATATAAAAAAATGATCTAATAGGTAGTTAATGAATCCAAGATACATTGAAATATTGAATATCATATTATATTTTATAGTCACAATATTTTGATCTAATATAAAATGTAAATGATATACATTATAAAATTAATAAATTGTTATAAGTCCAATGTGAAGATTAATTGAAAACATTAATCAAATCGCGTACTTATTATAGGCCGGCGGTCGACGTGCGACGCTAAAGAGAAAACGATAACCATCCACCGACTGCAGCAGGGATCGCATTTAGTATATTAATATATTATTCAATATTCATATAGATATTAGGTATATACGAGTATAGTATTTGTTATATAGGCTGTTATCTTTATGTTTTAATACAGTTCATATTTTATACAGGCCATACACAAATACTGTGCTGTCTATAATATAAAGACTACAGAATATATTGGTGTCAAGCACTGTTCAAATGTTTTTAATTTACCCAAATTCATACACAATATATACCATTGTCGACTAGTGTCACCAAAAAACACCACTTGTATGCGTTAAAGTAAAAATTATCATTTGGTGTGCGCTATGTAATTATCTTACAAAGGTTGTACTTATATTTTTCAAACCAATTACCTATATTACACAGATGACACTACAGCATAATAATTTTACGTAGGTACTTACAATAAGAGGAACGCCCATAATCATAGGTAATTAAAATTTGTAATGCATCACAAAATATTATATTAAAACAAAATTATTCATCTGACGCACATAATAACGCGACTATTTCAAAATAGGTTTTTCTTGGGATTTACGTATACCCATATTCTTATACAAACGTAGTTAGGTACGCACCATGTAAATACAATACATTTTAAAGAACGACTGGTGCATTATACTGGAGTATACTACAAAAGTTAAGTCTATATCCTTGCCTGCAGTGAGAAATGAGAATGATGTTATAAATACAATCTACTGTAGAACAGACTGATTGTAGTGCGATGTGCATCTTACCTTGACGCGCCGCCCTCGACACGTAAATATTCGG